CGCGATGGAAATCTGTCCACTAGATTCTGGAGCACCTCAATTTCACTGGAGATTCCCAACAAGATAGCCTTCAGCCGTTTCACCTCGTCTTTCTCCCGCTCAGTGACGCGGCGCACTGGGGTGATGCACTCCCTTCGCCGCCATCTTCCTTCTACCTCAACCCATTTCTTAAACTTAATTTGGGGAATTTTTCTTGACCTCCGAGTTAGAAGAAATCCTTAACTATTATCATTTTGTATAACCCTGCATATCTTTACAAATTAGTTGTTACATATTATCTTTATTGCATTTATATACTTTTGTATTCATTCTCTTAAATTGTAATTTTCCTGAGGATAGTTTTACTTTTATTCTTTAGTTTATTATTTATCTTTTCCTTTCTCCAACTGGCAAAACTCTGTAGCTTGCATATGTACACACTCAAATATATGTTGAAATTTAAATGTGGTTATAATTTTTACATATTGAARAAAAAATATTTAAATTTATACTTTATAAGTCAGAATTAATTTGATGATAACCTCATTAAAAAGTATAACAGACATTTTCTAATTTTCTATTGGAATTTAGCTTCAGGAGTGGAGGATGGTGGATTAAGCTGGCTAAAGAAGTCTTATCAAAGAATGAAGGAACAAGCTGAAAAACAAAATAAAAAATTTGAGGATATTGTAGCTGAAAGATATGGGGTAGGTATCTGAATTAAGAAGATGTGTACTATTTTCATAATTATATAAAAGATTATGTGGTTTAACTTTGTTTTATGCTATGACACACTTTTGAATTGAATTTATTAAATTTCTTAACTTTGTACTGCTGAAGTAACTTCTACTTTTTTATTATTCTGTATACTTGGGTAGCATATCTTTGCTGACATAAATAATGCAAGACTTAAATMTGTATTTATTTAATGTAAAAATAATATTTTATCATTATGAGAAAATTAAGTAATGCTGAAGAGCTTTCCCAGTATACCTCTGGAGATAACCACTTTTGAAATTTTGGTATATTCCAGACTTTAGTATTTTTCCATCTTTTGGCATTATCCAGAGTTTTTTTTTTTTTGTTTTTTTATTTTTTAGAAAAATATATATACACACTCTAAAATGAAAACTAGAAAGTGTTGAGGATGCAGTTTAGTGGTAAATAATAACCTCTGGGTTCAGTTGCGAATACTCCAAAAAASTATTAGAATGTGTATACTCTTTGAATGATGTAACCATGCCCGTGCATTAGTATATAGTATTTTAGAACCAACTTATTTTCTTTCCTTTGTAGGTAATGTGTTATCTGCCCATCCYCTTCTGTGTACATGCTCATACATATGCATCTGGTATAGTCTTTGTGAAGGAAGTTTTATTTTTGAGTTTGTAGATTCACAAATTAGGAATTTTTAATATACAAGTCTTTTTTTTTTCTCTTTCCATGCAAAACTATTAGATGAGCCCTTCTGATCCAGAAAATCAACTGGGAAAATTTTCTTACATAYATTTATTTTTTTATTAATGCTTTGCTTTCATCATCTTTTCTCCTTTCTGGAAATAATAGTGCACATGCATTAACTTCTCTAGAATCAATTGTGCATGTTTCTTTTTTCCTATAATTTATGTTTATTTACTGTCATTTCCTAAACTTTAAAGAATTCTCAGGCTAATTTGGTTTTTATCACTTTCTATTCTTTTCAGTATCTCAGGGCATTTTTTTGGATACACAGTTTTTCACTTCTTGTACTTGTAATGTTCCTTTTTCATGAGTCTGTTTTAGCAGTACAGTAACTTCTTGAATCTTGATTACCAGTTATATGTCGTCTGTATTGTATGTTAGACTTTGTTAGTATAGACCATTTGGTTTAAGAGTGTCCCCTTGGAGATTTTTGTTGTTGTTGTTGTTATTTGGTAATTTTTCTGTATTTTCTCATTCTTTTTAGTATTTATTTTAGTGTATGATGATTATTTGGGTCTACCCTTACCTTGGTAGGTTTTTCTTTCATTGTGCCACTTGTCGGTGGTTCATGGCCAATGACGTGGGTAAAACATCAGTGAGCATTTTATAACTTTCAATATGTTATTTTTCTCCTTTGTAGTCAATGGAATTATTTCAGTCAAAATTAGAAGAAGCTGAAAAAACTGCCTCCAAAAAAGAAGATTCTAGACGAGAACGGTGGAGGAAGCCCACATATTCAGATAAAGCACAAAATAGTCAAGAAAATAAAAAATTAGACTTAATTAAATACAATAAAAGTTCAAGGGATAGCTATGGTACAACAGAGATCACAAACAATAACAATAAAGATAAATTCAGTGGGGATGAAAAAGATGAGAGATCTGGGTCTTTAGAAACATGTAGAAGAGAATACAACCCAAGGCAAAACCAAGAGCTCTCTTCTGGAAATTTGAGACCTAAATTTTTAAGACCCACTGATGATGAAGAACTGTCATGTCTCAGCAAGGGACGAAATTTTGAACCATCTAGTTCATCTTTAGCGTTAGTGACTCAGGGTGCTTTGCATTGTGGTTTTCAAAAACCCACAGAGAACAGTGAAGAAAGTTTAACATCATGGAGATCATCTTATGGGAGAAAAGAAGAGAAGAAATATTCAAATCAAAAGGCATTGGAAACTAGTAGCAGCATTGACTATCAACACGTTTCAGGAGACACGAGAGAAAAATCACAGACTGAGAGCTTGAGTGATGACCCTCCAATGAGAAAAAATTTGCAGGATACAAAGGCTACATATGCTGGGTATTTTATCATTTGTTTTTTAAGATGATATTAATATTAAGACCCTGAGGATCCAAAGAACTAAACTGTTCCTCACAATGTCATTTGTTAATTAGACATGAGTATGATATCCTCTTTCTTAAATTGATGGAAAAGATAAAATACATAGATTTAACAATGTAGTGGTTTTGTTTTATGGATTGCATTTAATTTCACAGTTTATTTAACAGGGATCTAAAATAATTCAGTAGCCATAAGTTGCTGAAAATTTGTCACTTTTATAATTTAAAAATATGAATGWTATTCTTTTAAGTAAATGTGCTGTAGAAGACATTTTGGTAGATTTTGTTACTTTGTTATTTCCTAAGGAAGTTACCCCATCATTAAGTTAATAATCACCATAACTACATGAGWCAAGGAGGTCTAGGAGACGGAAGGAAAATTTGCTGCTGTGGCCCAAATACAAAGTTACAAAGCTATACTAAAGATCCTGCAGTGGGAACTGTGAATTATGGAGTTATTTTACAGAGAAGGAAATAATTTACTTTGGGAATTGATGGATTTCAAAGGTAATGTTAGAACTTTAAAAGTGAAATTTAAGATAGGATAGTAGTGGTATCCATAGTGATTAAGAAAGTAGCACTTACTGGTTTTATTTTTGTTGTATCCATTGCCTTTGTATAGGACTGGATCCAGAGATGAAGAAGCACATGTTGAGTGGTATCAGATCTAGACAATCTTTATTTAGACATGGAACTGGCCCCACTGGCGATAGAAATCCAAAAATGTATTYAAAGGATAATGACAGACTTATACAATAAAGTGACATATTTTATTGGTCATTAGAATATGTTAAAATACTATCAGTTAAGACAATTGTTAGTAAGAGTATAATTGTGACTTGGGGTGGTAAGTCTGGCAAATTGCTTTTGTTATTGACTCCATCTGAAGTAGTGGATTGTAAGCACATTGTGGGACTTTCAGTAGAAGGGATCTGGCAAAGTTTGGACCAAGTGATGGAGCCCAGTAAAATGAGCTYTAGTTCACATTGGGGCTTTCCTTCCTGGAAACTGAAGGAGAAATCCAGTTGTGTTGACTGCATGTATGTGGCAACGATTAGAGAATGTTTGTGGGTGTGTGAATATATAATTGCCCAGGCTTCATTCCAGGTGCCTTGAGTGGTAGACTGTTTCTACTCCACAGTTGGTGGTGGGGTGAGTCTTATTTCCTGATGATCATTTGRGTTGGTTTAGCATTTGGGCAATCTGTGGTTCTTGATTTCTGTGACTACAGCTAAGCAAAGTATATAGTGCAGTCTTACTATAAGTAACTCTATCTGGTTGTCTAATTGCCTCATATTTGTGTGTGCTCTTTAAATTGTTAGCTTCTGATAAATATAACATAGAATTATGCAATAACAGCAGTTTTGGAGGGTGAGGTCTGAAAGCAGTATTCTTTGTTAGATTTGTTAATTTTGATGTTAGAAGAGTTTGAGGTGTTCRGTGAATTCCATGACTGACTGGAGAGGAGAAGAAAAAAATCTAGGAATGTTCCACATTTATGTGAAAGGAAATACAATTTCTGAGCTTATAGAGTGATATTTTTTTTTAAAGAGAGAGAATATTTTAATATTTATTTTTTAGTTTTCGGYGGACACAACATCTTTGTTTGTATGTGGTGCTGAGGATCGAACCCGGATACCAGGCGAGCATGCCAGGCGAGCGCGCTACCGCTTGAGCCACATCCCCAGCCCTATAGAGTGATATTAAGAAACCAACATAGGACTCTGAAGAGTGCTAAAAAGATTGAGTGAAGAATTGTTAGTGGCTATTAATTTGTCTGAATATTATCTTGGAGATATGTTGAATTACTTAAAAAATGATAGAATACTAGGGGGTTTTAAAAACAATGACATTTTGAATTAGAAAAAAATTAAAGAACTGATTTTGAAACTAGAAGAAATCATAGTCTGAGCCTTACATTTACAGATATAGAAATTGAGGGAACTCAGATTATGACTTGCACAATATTATGTAACTGAGGTTGCCAGATTTAGTAAATAAAAATAATAATTCTCTTACAGTATTTGAACTTATGAGAAAAAAAATCTTCATTGCTTACTTGAAATTCAAATTTAACTGGTGTCATGTTTTTTATCTGGCAGTTCTGTAAGTAACAATCATTTCCTGGATCTGTGACCTTTTATAAGGTATTGACACTTGACTTTCTTGTGCTACTTTCCTTGACTTAAAACAAAGTAATATAAACAACTTCCTGGAGTTACTTCATGAGTTAGTATATATGAAAATGTATAGTATCCTGTACACATTTTTATTGTTGCTGTTAAAAGTACTATATAGTTATTTGCAAAACTTAGATTCAGTATCTTCTGATATCCATTTAGCATGGTTTTCAAATAAGGATTAAAGGAGAACTATAAACTGGCTTTGAATTAAAACACTTTTCTTTTATACACTAATTGTGAAAAGTTATTGATAACCTTAGTGAGATTTATGTTGGTAGAATATGAGAGAAGTTGACCAAATAGAGGCATAAGAGAAAAGAAAAAAGATTAACTGCCCAAAGTAAAGCATTTTCACTAGGCCTAAAAAATACTTTTGAATTTATTATAAAAACAGACTTTGGAATAGTCAATCTCACATTCTGCCTCAGCCCCCTGAGTTGCTGGAATTACAGGATTGCGCCACAATGCCTTGTTCTGTGATTATTTTAAATGGCTGGAAAACATCTTCCAATAATTACCCAGATAGTTAAGAACTTATTATAGTTGGAATGAAATATACTTACAGATATATTTTTCTTTTGTTGGAAAATATATTAGCTAAATACTTTTAGGAGTTTGAAACCTAAGAGTAATATGTAGTAGGGGAAAAAAACCTAACTAGATGTCCTTAAGTTAGATTTTATAATTTTGATCAGAACTAACCCATTTAGTACCTTAACCTTTAGATGTTATTCTTGGCAGAGTTTGCTTTTATATCCCATAAGGGCAAGAGAAGGATTCCATGTTGTCAAGGTTGTGAGTATAGTGATAAAATCCTTAGGCAGGGGAGAAAATATGAAAATCAGTGGTAAGGAATAGAATAATTAAAGAGACATCTGTGAACACTATCAGGAGGAGAAGAATAATTGCAATATAATCAAGGTTTCTGAAATATAATTAGTCTAGAATTCTTTTAATTACTGCTTCCTGAAAAGTTTTCAGCCAGTGTTAATGTGTGTGTACATATATTTTAAAGAACATATTTTAATGAGGTAATTTACTTTTTAGAAATAAGTTGTAATGGGAATGTGTGCACTATAGGTGTAATCCAGGAAAATGCTAAAGCTTTGGACTTCTGGGGTTAGACTAATTGCAGATATTATGGTTATGTTTCTTTTAAAGCATCTGCTCATCTCTATAAGTGCTTAGAGAACATAGGAAAGGGTTTATTCTTTATTATTATCTTGAAACTTGATGGCTTTTGGATAGACTAATAGTGCCTTCCCTTGATTAAATCTTTAAGCTTCCAACCTAAGAAGGGCAGGGAGAGGAAAGTTTTTCAACAAAGGGAAGAGTAAAGTAAAATCACAAAGGTGTGTCCTTTGGATAAATAATAAGAGGTTTTTGACAACTCAGTCAAGAACATTTTCATTGTGAAAGGATACAGAAGCCAGATTTCAGTAGACTAAATTTGAGTACTGGTTTTAAGTTGGCAGAGATAGAAAATATATGAGTGAAGAGGTTAAATTTAGTACCTCCCCAACCCCTTTTATCTTTGACGTGTAGATACTTAAACATGTTTATATTTTAATGAAAAAAATCAGTTTTACTTTAGAAAAGATCTCTGTATAGAGTTGATAATTGAGCAAGATCCTTGAGGTTATTAATATGGGTCCTGTTTATTCATCCAAGTAGGAGGATTAGACATGGGTAGAAATGTTTTAAAGAAGAGGAAAGTGTGGCTAGTTAGGCAGAGAAGATTCTTTCTTGGTGACTTATATCAGTGTTTTTCAACATGTGATCCCCTAGAATGTCTGTGATTCTCTAGGTCCTTATAAGGAACACAGGAGTTTGGAAGCTTCAGGTGGGAAGAGAAAGGCAGTGTGACAGTTTGGTTCACATACAGCTCACACAATTGAAATGTACTCTCATTGTTATGACTGTTATTAATTTTATTCTATTTTTACCTCCAAATTTTGATGAACTTTTAGAACACAATTACTCCAAATGCTTTGTCCGTGTGCCTATCATTTCCCTTAAAGGATCCTTGGATACTGAAAGATTGAGAACAGATYATTTCTTTCATTCATTCAGATTTGTAAAAGTGTATCTGAATTATGTGATAAGGAGTGTTTATTTTTTGCCTTAAATATATGCCTTGAAGCTTAAGTTGGATCCCTTTCATTCATTTTGCCATTTATCTTATATTCACTGAATATTTTTATTTCCTAGATCTCATGGTACAAAAATAATTATGACATTGTATCTGCCTTCAAGGAACTCACATTGTAGGAGAGGAAGTCATATAGATACCTAAACAAATATGGTACATACTTGAAGTTACAGGTGTTAAGTATAGATGCTTTTATAGTTATTACACATAGGGGTGGGATAATATTAGGGGCAGGATAATAATAGTGGCAACAGGGTCTGGTAAGATTGTTCAGGCAAAGTTATAAGGTCTTTATGAAGGATGAACCTGTTGAGAAAAGGCAATCAACTTGAAGAAACTGGAAATATGAGACAGCATAGTGTAGTTGACTATTTGCAAATATGTTTTAGAATTTGTGATAAAGTAGCTCTGAGAACAGGGTATATCTCTTTCTAATCTGTTTCTCTGGATCCTGATGTAGTACTTAGCATATGGTAGCTTCCCTCTGATTTGTAGAATTTGGTTAAGAGAAAGACATATGGGAGGAAGTATGCAAGGAAGATGCCTTGTACACCTTATTCCAGAAGTCATGCTTACAAGTGGGACATCATTTTATGAGTGATAAAGAAGTATCACAAGGATTTT